TATGGGAGCAGATCACCAGGTCTTTTTCATGTGGAGCGGCTGGTAGGCTTGAACCGCCAACCTTTTAGTTAGTAGCCAAGCACTTAACTGTTGTGCCATTAGGGCTCCTTTATTATGTACTAGGGTCTGATATTTTGTCGGCCCTTAACAAATAACACAGGAAGCATCTAAATAAGATGGAAGGTATACAGAGTTACTGCACCAAAAAGAATTGGTTGACATTCAACCATTTCAGGAGGTAATATATGATCAAGAATCAATGGTACTTGTCATGGACTGCATTGTGTCCCCCCCCAAAATACGTTTATCAACTTGGCTAGGCCATGATTCCCAGGATTGTGTGACTGTCCACCATTTTGTCATCTGATGTGATATTCCGAAGTGTTGTAATCCCTATCACTATGATGTTAATGAGATGGATTAGTGGCAGTTATGTTGATGAGATCTACAAGATGAGGTGGTGTCTTGAACCAATCTCTTTTGAGATATACAAGAGAGAAGTCAGCAGGGAGACAGGGGTACCTCATACCACCAAGAAAGCAGCACTGGGAGCAGAGCACATCCTTGCGACCCGGGGTTCCTGTGCAGACAAGCTCCTAGTCCAGGGGAACACTGATGACAAGGACCTTCCTCCAGAGCCGACAGAGAAAGCTTTCCCCTGGAGCTAATGCCCTGATTTTGGACTCCTAGCCTACTAGACTGTGAGAGAACGAACTCCTGTTTGTTAAAGCCAGCCACTTGTGGTATTTCTATTACAGTAGCACTAGATGACTAAGACAGTACTGAAGGAAGAAATCCAAACTGCATTGAAGGCTCCAGGAAACAACAGAATACAAATTTAGATTCTTCAACAAACGAATACAATGCTGCAAGCGCTCACTCATTGATGCCAAGAAATTTGGAAGACAACTGCCTGGCCAACCAACTAGAAGAGATCCCTATTTGTGTGTATCTTACTTATCTAGTTGCTATAACAGAAATACCACAAGTGGATGGCTTTAAAAAACAAAAATTTATTTTCTCACAGTTTAGAAGGCTAGAAGTCTGAATTCAGGGTTCTGGCTCTAGGGGAAGGCTTTACTCTCTATCTTGGCTCTGGAGCAAGGTCCTTATCTCTTTGAGCTTCTGCTCCTGAGTGATCTTCATACGGCTAGGCATCTCTCTTCCCCCATCTCTGTCTGTAGCTTGCTTGTTTAATCTCTTTATATCTCAAAAGAGATTGACTCAAGATACACTCTACGCTAATCCTGCCTCATTAACATAACAAACAGAACCCATTCCCAAATGGGATTATAACCACACACACAGAGGTCAGGATTTATAACACATATTTGACAGGGACCAGTTCAATCCCTAACAGTGCCCATTCCAAAGAAAGGTAATCCTACAGAATGTGGAAATTATCAAACAATATCATTAATAACAGCAAGAAAAATTTTGCTGAAGATAATTAAAAACATCTGCAGCACACATGACAGAGAACTGCTAGAAATTCAAGCCAGATTCAGAAGAGGACATGCAATAAGGGCTATCACTGCTGAAGTCAGATGGATCTTAGATGAAAGCAGAGAACACCAGAAAGATATTTACTTGTGTTTTATTGAGTACGAAAAGGCCCTGACTGTGTGAATCATAACAAATTATGGATAATACGGCAAAGAATAGGAATTTCAGAACACTTCACTGTGATCATGCAGAACCTGTACATAGACCAAGAGGCAGTCTTTGGAACAGAACAAGGGAAACCGCGTGGTTTAAAGTCAGGAAAGGTGTGTCAGGGTTGCATCCTTTCACCCTACTTACTCAATCTTCATGCTGAGCAAATAATCCGAAAAGCTGGACTATATGAAGAACGGGGCATCAGGATTAGAGGGACACTCATTAACAACCTTCGATATGCAGATGACACAACTTCCTTGCTGGAAGTGAAGAGGACTTGAAGCACTTACTGATAAAGAGCTTCAGTATGGATTGTACCTCAAAATAAAACAAAAATCCTCACACTGGCCTAATAAGAAGCATCATGATAAACGGGAAAAATATTGAAATTGTCAAGGATTTCACTTTACTTGGATCAACAACACCCATGGAAGAAGTAGTCAAGAAATCAAACGACATATTGCATTGGGCAAATCTGATGCAAAAGACCTCTGTAAAATCTTAAAAAGCAAAGATGTTACTTTGATGACTAAAGTACACCTGATCCAAGCTGGACAATAATAGAGAAAGGTCGAAGAAGAAATTGATGTATTTGAATTTAGGTGCTGGCAAAGAATACTGAATTTACCACAGACTTTGTAAAATGGAAGGAGAGCTGGTGGCACAGTGGTTAAAGCACTCTACTCCTAACCGAAAAGTTGGCAGTTCAAACCTATCAGCAGCTCCACAGGAGAATGATGCAGCAGTCTGCTTCCATAAAGATTTACAGCCTTAGAAACCCTACGGAGCAGTTCTACTCTGTCCTACAGGGTGGCTATGAGCTGGAATTGACTCGACAGCAGCAGGTTTGGGTTTTTTTTTTTGTTTTGGTGTAAAACAGTAGTAGTAGCATCAGAACTTGTCTAACTTCAGGGTGAATTATGAGAATCAAGATCAGCACAAAGCTGATTCCTATGAGGTAGAGGTCAGACATACCTTCACTCTCCAACCTTGTTACCAATTCTGATACCAGCCATCTCCCTATGGCACTCTACTTCTCACTGGGTTCGATAATCCATTGCAACGGCCACACAGGACTCCTAGATCATACTTACAGTTAAGTGGCTTATTCAGGAAATAACTCAGGACCACGATCAAGAAGCAGGTAGACAAAGTCTGGAAGGCTCCCCAAAGTGAAGAACACGTCCCTCCCTCCCTTCTTCCGTGTAGACAGCTCTTTCAGCCGCGCAAGCAAGCAGGCCCTTCTCTCTACCTCGTATGCCCCCTCTCAGCTGTGCTGGCCCCCGGAGGACAGGCTTCCTCTCAGCCTCCTCAGAACAGAGTTCTTCTCAGCCACCTCAGGACAGGCCTCCTCTCAGTCCCCTGAGGACAGGCCTTCTGCCCGTGACCTCACTGCCATCGGCCTCTCCAATGCTAACTGACCCAGCTCAGAGCCAGTGTAGCAATTTTGTTCAGCTCTCTTTTAGCTGCATTCCCAGCAGCAGGCTTCTGCCATCAGAACCAACTCTACCACAGGGTTCCTTCGAGGCCTGTTGCTACTGGTTCTGCTACAGGGCCCCTTCTGGTCCTGTAGCTGCCAGCTCTGCCGCAGAGTCTCTTCCAGGCGTCTCACTGTCTTTAGCGTTATAGCCTTTGATCTGTGTTATAGCCTTTTAGGAGGTTCTTTGCCTCCTCCCTCTCTGCTGCTTCTCTCTTCTTGCCTTTATCTCCCCTTCCTGCTTCTTTCTTCCTTCTTTCTGTCTGCCAACCTCTGTGGGGTTGGCTGCATATATAAGCAAACTCCTGGTCAATTTCAAGGTACAGCCCTCCCACCAGGCCCATGAACTAACCAATCGCCTCTCGGTAAGTCAGATACTTCACTTTCATAGTAGGCTATGGTCACTTCATTTACATAAGTATACTGACCAATCCCTGCAGGTGTGTAAAACAGACCAATCACAGGGCAGGCTGCAGCACAGGGCCAGACAAAAAGTACCAAACTATAATTTGTTTATAGCGCACCCAGGAAGCATCAAACAACCTGGACAAAAGTAACAAAGCCTCTGGGGTAGAAAATTAGGGCAAAGGTAACTCTCTAGGGCTTCGGGAAAAATCTCTCAAACTGTTTCTCCAAAGAACTAAGGCAAAACTCCACATGAAGGAACTCATTTCACCATAGACTGCCAGAAGGATTAACAAATCTGTCTTGGAGGAAATATAGCCAGAATGCTCCTCAGAAGAAAGGATGGTGAAATTTCATCTTGCTTACTTTGGACATGAGTCCTGGTGGCGCAGTGGTTAAGAGCTTGGTTGCTGACCAAAAGGCTGGCAGTTCAAATCCACCAGCCGCTCCTTGGAAACCCTATGGGGCAGTTCTACTCTGTCCTGTAGGGTCGCTATGAGTCGGAATCAACTCGAAGGCAGTGGGTTTGGTTTTTTCTTTGGTAATCCCTGGAGAAGGACATTGTGATTGTTAAGGTTGTGTGTCAACTTGGCTGGGCCATAATTCTCAGTGATTTGGCAGTTAGGATATACTCTGGCAGCCATATAATGATGTAATCATCTTCATGATGAGATCTGATATAATGTGATCCCCTCAATGATGGGATCTGCTGTGAGTAGCCAGTCAGTTGAAGGGGAGTCTCCTTGGGGGTGTGGCCTGCACCCAATATAGGTGAACTTTCTGGCAAGGCTCGTGGGCTTTTGCTTGCTCTGTATCCTGCAGCTGGCTTCTGTTCGTCTGACCCCCGGTTCTTGGGACCGGAACTAGCAGCTTACCTGCCATCTTGCCTGCCAATATTAGGATTCATCAGTCTCCACAGCCCTAACCCTAACCCTGCTGTTTGACCTGCCAATCTTGGGCTCACCAGCCCCTGCAGCTATGCTGAGTCAGGAGAAGGCTCCAGCCTGACCCACGGACTTGGGACTTTCCAGCCTCTGCAACCACATGAGCCATTTCTTTGATATAAATCTCTATATATATATATGTATTTATGTACTTTACTGGTTTTGTTTCTCTAGAGAACCCAGCCTAAAACAGACATCATGCTTGACCAAGTAAACGGTCAGCGAAAAAGTGGAAGACCTCCAACGAGATGGACTGACACAGTGGCTGCAACAATGGGCTCAAACATATCTACTACTGTGAGGATGATGTAGGATCAGACAACATTTCGTTCTGTTATACACAGGGTCGCTATGAGTCGGACATGATTCAACGACACCTAACAACTAATAAAGGTGAATTTCCATTTCTCAAATTAGAAAAGTTAATTCATAAACCTAAAAAAAATTCAATAACTATCACAAGTCTATCATAAAGTAAACAAAATATTACAAACAGTATATAAATCCATACATACTATGCTGTTCATCTCAGAGGACTCATAGCTCCCAACCGGATGCACATTTCCAATGGGCTCCAAGCCCTCTTCATCCCACATGTATGTTCCATCAGAGCTATCAGATGGAGAGAGTTCAAAGGAAGAACCAGCTCTGTCGTCTGTATCTGGTGAAATCAAGTTATTCCCAGATGCATGCTTTGTATAGTCACTGTCTTCAATTGATTAAAAAAGAGAGAGAGAGGGTAGTTATTAATTCACAAAAATATCATTTCTCTGGTTCTAAAAATACAAGCTCTAATAATTTGATCTATTACAGCAAAAAGGTTGACAAAACAATTCATAACTGTACTATTTTGTAAATTCTAATAAAAATTTAAAAATCAAGCGTCAAAATCTTAAAAATAACCTACTGAAAGATTTTCCAGTAGACATAAAGAAAATTCATTTAACCATCTTTCACTTCTAAAATATTTCTAGAAATATAAATAAAGCCTCATATTCTTTTAATGTTTCCCAAAATTATTTACTTTTAACCTGGAAACTCCCCTCCTCTGTATATAACTAAAAAACAAACCCACTGCCGTCTAGTTGATTCTGACTCATTAACTATAAAGATAAATAAGAAATCTAACTCCTCCTTGAAAAAAAAATTTCCTGGGATAAAAAAAAAAATCTTTATATTGGACATAACCTATATGATTTCATTTATCTTTTGTTATAACTTTGCTGTTAGCATATAGCAGTGATCTACTACCCTAAAAGAAGAGATGGTTTTATAGTATGCCACTGGTGGGGGAAAGTGGGGAAAAAATTCTTTTGAAGCACTACGTACACTGATTAGGAGTAAGCCTGGATATGACAGCCAAGAAGAGGCGAGGAAAGACACCGTAGGGGAAGAGTGCTGTTACTGATATTGTTGTTGTTATAAAAAGGGTAAAAAACAGTACAGAGTACAAAAGTCACTGAGCAAGGAAGATAAATGTTGCCCTATTTCAATCTTATTTAGATCCATCCCTCCTTCCAACAGTCATTTAATACAGACCATGAAATTGACAGTACCTTGGTATCACAAGATAATCCTAAATGTAATTACGTTCAGTTAGAAAAACATCTAGAAGAAAGCAAACAAACTTAAATATTAATATTTACCAGACACACTTATAGCTATCCATTCATCAGTTTTATGGAAAGATTTTTCATTTTCCTTGGGGGAATCAAATATATCCTTCGGTGGTACATTTTCATGCTTTTCTTCTTTGACAGAAATTTCCTCTGGAGTTATTTGAGTTCTGTTAGAGTCTTCAATATCTATAAAATCATCACTAAAGTCTTCACTTAAATCATTCTTATCAGAAGATGACAAAGAAGACAAGGAAATATCATCCACATCATCACTCAGGTATCTAATTTTAGCATCATTCTTTATGGTCTGCTCATTTTCTGTTCTATAACCATCGTTTTCAATTAGTTCTTGGTCCTTATTAGTAGCTTTGTCATTAGCCAAAACTGTAGCATGTTCCTTTACACACTTGTCGGCAGATGCATTTTTATTACCATCAACTGTGATACTCCCAGCAAATGGAGGTCTACTGGATTTCAGTAAAGAGGGATGAATCATCCTATAACCCAAAGTGGAAATCATACCAGGTCCATTTGGTAAAGCCAACTTCTTTCCACCAGCAGGATAAGGCCTATTAAATCCATACCCTAAACGTTCATTCCCATTAAGTACTTCTGACTGCCGGGAATTTCTTGTTAGCATACTTGACCTTAGAGGCACTCTAATGTGTAGCTGTTGGTTCTGATAAGGCTTAGTAAGATCTACAGCTCTGTTGAAGGAATGTGATCTGGTTATAGAAGAAGGTGGAAGGAATGAATTCTGAATGGAATGTGAAAAACTTTGTGACCTTACCATTTTTTCACAAGTAATAGATTTAATATTGTCTGGGGATTGTGCTAAGCTTTCTCCAGAACTACTTCTGGTGGCACAGGAATTTGCTCTAGGCCTTTGCCTGTTACCAGCTGATCGATTTCCATAAAATCCATTCAACTGTGATTTTGGAGCACTGACTGAAGAATATGAAGTCCTTCCTAATAATGTACCTTTGGTGAATTTACCCAAATTAGATGGTCCAGACAAAGATTTCTGGTTTAACTCCTCTGTAGATGACACAAACATAGTGGATGGTTTTGTTATCTTTGATGTAAGTACAGAAACTCTTTTCAAATCTCCTTTTATCCTACTTTTATCAAACATTCCTTGAATAGGAGCATGTTTTTCAGGATCAATTACTTTATCATGTGAATTTTGAGTATTGTTAGGTTCTCCAGCACTTTGTTCACTGAGTTGGTATTTATTTGCCTTTCTCCAGTTAAATGAATGGGACAACAGACTATCTGAGCCATTATTTTTTATGTAACTTTTGACATTGTTACTCTTGGAAACTCCTAATAAGTTAGCAGGTGTCCCATTTGACATCGGCTGCAGTGTACTTCTTACAGATTTTGTTCCATACTTCGGCAACTTTGAACCCAATAATGTCTTGAGTTGTGTTTTTTCTTCCATGAGCTATAAAGTGCATTTGTCCTTAAAGATTGACAGAATCTGAGGAGGAAAAAAAAGGTAGAGTCAACATTCCTAAATAAGAACAATCACAAGGATCATTACATAATATAAATACATATAACAGTTACATAATTAGATGCAGCAAAGCCCAAACACTACTTCTGAGTCCTACAGGATTACTAGATATTGAATGCATTTATTAAACCAATAACATTATACTAGAATGAAATAAAGAAGATTTTTATAAACATTTTCTATAAACTTGGGTTATAGATGATGACATCAAAGTCCAGAAAAAATAAAATTAGACTATCAAATTTGACTGTATTAAAAAAATGAGTATGGCCGTTTAGGGTACAACAATCTATTCACCTGGATTAAAAGAGGAAGAAGGAAAGTCTGGAATAGGAAGAGGATATGGACGCCTCTATGAACAACTGCCTCCTTTGCGATGAGACCAGGAGAACTAGGCAGTGCCCAACTACCATTACTGAACATTTTGATCAAAGATCCCATAGAAGAATCCTGATCAAATGGGAGAAAATGCAGAACACAATTTCAAATTCTCATGGACGCTAGGCTTTCTGGAGCCATGGAGGGTGAATGAACACCTGAAGTTACTGCCCTGAGATAATCTTTAAACCTTAAACCAAAAATATTCCCTGAAGTCATCTTAAAACCAACAACAGTTTAGCATAACTAATAAAAAAAAAAAGTCTGCCTTGAGCATTATGCTCTTTTAAGAACTATCTACAGGGGATGAAATTGACAACAGCAACTTGAAAGATTAGATAGGAACTTTAGTGGGCAGTGAGTTTATGTTAATGAGGGAGGAACAACTCAGAAAAGGAGGGTGAGAATGGTTGCACAACTCAAAGAATGTAATCAATGTCACTAAATTGTACATGCAGAAACTGTTGAATTGGTGTCATTTTGCTGTGTATATCCTCAACAACAACAAAATAAATAAAATTCAGAAAAAAAAATGAATACTTCTACAGTTCATCTTCCAATTTCCAATTCAAATTATTTTTTCACTTTTGGGTAATACTCTCTCCTTTAAAATTAGGATGTGATTTCATTTTTTCAAAAAGCACACATGATCTTATAAAAACTGGAATACATTTAAAAATCTTCATTATTGAAGCCATGGGAAGGATGTGGGTAGGAATAAAATAGCAACAACAACAAAATTCTTCTTAAGGTAGGGATAACAACCGTCATTGTAAGCAACCATCTTAAAAGAATTTGCACCTACTACCATAAACAGATGTTATAGTTATTGCCAGGCTGAGAGTTCTAATAATTTAATAAACAAAGTTGATTAGTCTATTAATTTCCAAGTCCTGAAATTTATTTTAAAAGTAATACAAACTACAAACACAAAAAAGGTTCAATGCACAAAGAACATAAAACTAGAAACAACTAGTGTCTCCCATCTGAGTAACCATTTAATAAAATATGATGGACTATGTGATGAGATTATAAAGATGCACTAGAAATATAAAATGTCTGACCTGACAATAAGTAAAATATAGTATGGTCACTATATGCTCACTGCAATTACAGCTGCCACTGAGTTGATTCCGACTTATGGTGACGCCATGTGTGTCGGAGTAGAACTGGGCTCCACAGAGTTTTTAATGGTTGATTTTTCAGAAAGATAGCCAGGCCTTTCTTCTGAGGTACCTCTGAGTGGGCTCAAACCTCCAACTTTTCCATTTGCAATTGAGAGCATTAACTGTTTGCACTACCCAGAGACCTCGGAGAACCTACAGATTTTCAAAAGTACTGATCAGAGAAAGATTCTGCAAAAGTGTTGCATGGCTCCTACCTTATACTTCACGGACATAGTAATGAGGAAAGCAGGTAAGTAAATAAAACTTAAAAATTTTAATAAGCGCCCGCCAGTCTGCCTGGAAAGAGCTCAGGGTATGATTTGGCAACACTGGAAAAATCAAGGAAAACACACTGAGGACAAAAGGTTTTTGAAACCTCAGCAAGAGGCAAAACGAGCCACCAGGACTTGCCAACTTCCAAGGCACTATTCTGAGTTAAAGGACTCCTGGTGGCACAGTGGTTAAAGTGCTGGACTGCTAACTGAAAGGCAGGCAGTTTGAAACCACCAACGGCTGCACGGGAGAAAGGTGTGGCAGTCTGCTTCCCTGGAGATTTACAGCCTTGGAAACCCTATGGGGTTGCTGTGAGTCGGAAATGACTCAACAGCACTGAGTTTACTCTGAGTTAAGGGAACAATGTGAAACCCAAACAAATGCACAATACCCTTGGCAGAACGGAGTGAGCCTTGTACAAGATACTTAACAAAATCCAAGAAGAAAATCTGAAGCCTCCAGACAACGATCCCTCCAACACCACCTCATGCCTTTCAAATACAGAAAAGCAGATAAAGAACAAAACACACCCTCAAAAGGTGTATCACGGTTGTACATAAAGGGAGAAAATAAGATCACAGCTTAGGTGAGAAAGACATGAAGGGAAATTCACCCATATTATATCAGAATAAATACAACTCATACCTATAATAAAAACTAGTCTGTCTTATGATTGTGTGAGTCTATCTGACCACTAATAAAGTAAGGTGTTGAGAGCATAAACGGAGTTCTATTTACTTTCAGGCCTGCCACAGGACCACACATTATAAATTTACAATTCTAGTGCAAGTTAATTTAATAAATTATAAGTCAAGAATGAAATATAGGGAATTCCAGCAACATGCCGCTCTAGGCAGAAGCACCACGCAGTCCCTCCACAGCAAAGATCTGAAAAACTAAGCCAAACAGAGAAAACAGCAGTCCTGAAACCCTAAACATCAAATGAAGAGATAAAGAACTCAGCCAAGCACCAAATGGAATAAGAAACTGACAGAGAACAAACAGCGATGAGACATACATGCAGAGGTCCCCTATCAGCTAACACAGCACGGATCCGCAATCTTGGAACCTATCCGAGACCAGCAAATAGGGGGTACGAGAAAGCAGCTTCACGGAGCTTCCAGCAGGAGACAGAAAAACCGGTAATTGGCGATATACACTTTCCCGCCCCGCACCCTTCTTCACCCACAACTGGCCTCCTCTGCTTCCTGCAGCCACAGTCTCTTGGTTGGGAAGCACTGGCTGCTTGGATTCCACCCGCCCGCACTGACCGGCTCCCTGAGTGCCATTTGTTGCCTGCTAGGGTTGCTTTTTGCCACTTCTTTTGATTTCTTCCTTACTTCTCACCACCTCTCCCAACTTTCGCTCAAATACCTGGCTCCATGCGCCATCTTTGCTTCTTCTGAGGGACTGTGGAGCTCCGCTCAAGTGTGCAACTACTTCCCGGTCTGTGCTGCCATGCTGGTGGGATCCCGGAGCTTTTGTTTGTTTGGTTGTTTTGAATTGTTTGTTTTCCTTTCTTTTTCTCGGGTTGGGAGCCTGTTCTGCCCAGGCAGTGCTGCATGACTTGGCACCTACCCCCTCACATTACACAGACAAGCAGAGACATCCCTGGGGGCATATCTTTTTTCATGGGGTTTTCTTTTTTCTCTTTTTTGGGCCATTTTTCTTGTTCTTTTTTTTTAAATTTCTTTTATTTTCTTTTCCCTCTTTTTCCCTTTTTGTCTTTCTTCATTACTCAGTTTCTCATCTTTCTGTACCATCCTTCTCTTCCTGTCCCCTGAATACCTGGCGCTGAGGGACACCTCTACACCTTCTTGCCAGACTGTACATCAACACCTGGGAACAACATCCCCAGACCTTGTGGCTACACTGGTATGATCCCTGGGAGCTTTGCTTTTCTTTTCTCTTAATTTTTACTTATTCATTCTTTTCTTTGTTTTCTTCTTCTTCCTCTTTCTGCTTTTGTTTTTCTCCATTTCATAGTCTCTCATCTCTCCATTCCAACAGCGAGCTCCCCTAGCACTCTTTTTTGTTTGTATGTTTTTGGCTCCTGTTCCTCTCTCCTATACCCATCTTAGCTCCACATATCACAATCTCCCCCCTCCATCCTGCCTACCTGCACCATGTGCTTAACATCACACCACCAAGAAGCACAGGCACGGCCTACTGGAACCTACCCTGCACTGATTACTGACCCGCCCTGGTGGCTGTAGTAAGTGACACAAACAACCCATCCCAGCAAATCCTCTTCAGCTAGACCTGCCCGGCTATACCATATCTGAGCGACTGACCCTGCCAACTGAAGGAGGCGAAAATTATTGTGCCCACAGATGAGCAAACAAAGAACACACAGCCCACCTGCTCAGACACAGCCTAATTTAAAAAAAAAAAAAAAATACGAAACAAATCTGCAATCAATACACGAGAAAAATAACTACTGAATGCCCCAAAGACAGCAGACAATATCAAAACATTTACAAAAACAGGACAGGATGGTTCGAGTAGGCGTCCAAAATAAAACACCAGATGACTTTCCAGTAGAAGAAAAGGCACTAGAACTACCTGATAGGGAACTCAAATCTCTAATACTCAGAATTATCCAAGAGTTTAAGCAAAGAGCAGACAAAAATGAGGAAAAAATAGACAAATTCATGGAAAAGGCAAACAAATTGATGGAAAAGACAGACCAAAAAAATCGAAGAATTCCAGAAAATAATGCAGGAACAAAATGCCAAAATATATTCACAACTACAAATTATACAAAAACAATTAGAAATCCAAAAGAAAAACAAGAAGTTTTCAGGAAGGGACAGTGCCATAAAAGGGCTGAGGAGCAGATTTGAAATGGTGGAAGACAGGATCAGTGGAATCGAAGACAAACACTTGGATACTACTCCGTTTGAGAAAAACTCACAAAAAAGAACGAAGAAATATGAAAAGACCCTGAGAATTATGTGGGATACAATCCAAAGCAAAAATCTGCGAGTGATCAGAGTTACAGAACAGGGGGAGGAAACAGAGACGATCATTGAAGAACTGCTGGCAGAAAACATCCCCAATGTCATGAAAAATGAAAAGCTGACCATCCAAGAAGCTCAACGAACCCCATATAGGATAGACCCCAAAAGAAAATCACCAAGGGAT